AATAATAATAATAATAATAATAATAATAATAATAATAATAATAATAATAATAATAATAATAATAATAATAATAATAATAATAATAATAATGATAACAATAATAAAATAATAATAATAATAATAATAATAACAATAATAATAATTAATGAGTCATTGAAAATATGGAGTATTGAATATATTCAAATACTAAGGGAGAGAGAGAGGGAGTGAGAGAGAAGTATGAATGAGAAATTGATGAAGGAATATTAGTAAGTTAGTCATTTGAAGATACTTTAATTATGTTGAAGTATTTGTTGGAGCTTTTGGAAGGTAGTTAAGCAGGGTGGACGATTAGGGATGGCCAGTTGGATGAAGCAAATAAAGGGGTGGCTTACTTATGGAAATATTTATTGTCACCCGATCATAATTTCTTATTCCTTCTATTCTTTGAGATTATTTTAACAATGGGCCAAAAAATAAATTGATTACAGGAAGCTAAAGTTCCATTTAAATGAAAAATAATTAAACAACAAATAAACAAGGAAGGGGAAAAAAGAAAGAAAAATAAAGGAAATTTGATGAGGTAATAGAGAGGAAACAAAGTTGAAGAATAAGAGTAAAGTAAATGATTAATGTAATTATCTATTCCTGATAAAATTTCAATAGAAAAAAAAAGGAAAGTACAAGTTATTCCACATCTCAGTGATTTCTTAACAATTTCTTTCTTGCATCTTTTTTTTATTTCTTTCAAATTTTCATTATTATATGTTTTAATGTTCTAATATTGACAGATACTCAATCATTCCTTACAATTTTCATATTCTGAAAATCAGAATCCAAAATACAATATCTTCCCTTATGAATACACTACCTACTACAATATCTCGTGCCTCCTAAATACAGTATCTACCACTCTACAATATCCCGTGCCTCCTAAATACAGTATCTACCACTTCCTAATACAGTTTCTACTGTTTTCTGATAAAGGTTCAATTATTCAATAATATATTCCCTATTATCGAGTGAGAAATTTAAAGAGATTCGAATGGCCAACAAGTGACTAAACATGAAATGAATGTTGTTAGTAATTGAAATCATTACTGTAATATTGGAATAAAAATTCAACAGATTTGGATTGTTTAAAAAGAAAAAAATTAAAGTTTGGAACTCCAAATTATCAACTTACCTTCAACAGGCAACAAGTAATGTCCATTAGTAATGTCAATAAGTAATGTCCACTATTGCTTGTTCTTTCATTTCAATCACCTCACATGTATTAATTAAGAGTAACAAATATACCTGATGAATAATGTGGAAATAAGTGAATGATTTTTTTTGACAAACTTTTAGGATGCAAATTTAAAGGGAAAAAAAATGGGGGACTTTAAAAATCTTTCAAAGTACGACAATCCTTTCATAGTAAAGCAAATACGAATTATTGATTTATCAGGACAGTTGCTAAAATGTCACCAAACATCCAACAATTATATCACTAATTTGTTTTATCAGTATATTCGAGATTTTATTTTATTTCTTCTCTTATAATTCAAAATTTTCCTGTCCCTTTTCCACTTTTTCTTCTTAATTTTTGATGAATCATCAAATTAACCTATTTCGGAACAATTTGATTTTTATTAAAATTGTACCAATGACAGATAATGTTTATATAGGATAAGTAATTTAATCAAATATATGTAATTAGAATAATGTAATCAATTTTAAAACAAATAGCAATGGAATTGATTTAAAAATGCATGAGATTTTATTATATCAATAATAAATGAATTAAATATAAAATAAGGAAATGTTACGTGTGTTTTGAAAGTAATTTTTGAATAATTTAAATACAAATGAGGCATTATTTTTCGTCTTCTTTCTTTAAAATGTACTCAAAAAGAAAAATTTTTAAATGGTAGGGAAGAACCTTTTCGTTTTTCTTTAAGAAAAAGAAAGAAAGAAATATGAATTATGATTAATAAAATTAAAAAAAAACTGTTTCCAAAAAATCAGAGATGTTTTAAATGATATATCAATTCTTTCTTCCAAGATTTGTTAAACAAAAAAAAATCTATTTCAAATGAATTATACTATTCTATCTTAGAAAATGTAAGTTTAAGGAATGAGTAGAATTTTACAAATTTATTTTCAAGAAAGAAAAGAATCTTTCAAAGAAACATATCATTTTTTGAAACGTTCTTGGCCAGAAAAAAAAAAGCAAAAGATCGTTTTAGTCGTTAATCTTTAAATATTTTCCCATTAGTAACTATCAGATTACTGTAACTCCATTCTAGGAAGGAAAATAAACAAATAAATCTTTGAAAAAAATTAGCGAATCAGGCGAAACAAATTTTTAAATAAAATTTATACGGGATGGATCTGGAAAATTGTCTATTCCATAAATGATTTTATTATGGCAAAATAAATAAAAATGAGTACTATGAGAGAAAGCTTTTGGAATAAGTCATTTGAGATTTCTTCCAAAAACTAATTAATTTATGGATGAATACACAGAAGGCATTTTTCCCGTAACAAAATTAAACGCGACATGTATTTGGATCGTCAGAATTTCATCTAAGGTTGACAATTTAATTCAACAATGAAACCGTATCGTTTTCATTTTTATGTTTTTTCTCTGCTGAAATCTGAAATTTTTAAATTTTAAATTCACAACATTTTCGTGAGAAGTTGTAAGCTCTAAAATAAATTAAAACATCTTATAACGTGATTATGTGCATCTGCAATTGCATCAATCATCGCATCTTATATGAAAATAAGCCTTTATTGTTGCTTATCATAAATTAGCGCCATTATTACAAAATGTAATTATTTGCTGAAAAGATAATGATATCTTTCATCTAAATCATTATCATTATTGGTACAGTAATAACAATTGTTATTATCATTACTGTTGCTATTATCATTACTATTATTATTATTATTATTAT